TTGTCAAAATCTGATTTACTTTGGAAATAGATTGTTGCTTTGGATAGTCAAAAACAACACGCAAAAAAAAAACTCAAACGAGACAAGAAATTTTCTCATCCTAAAAAAAGACAATTTAAAATTTCAAAAATCCAATAACTTAAATCATACCAGATTGTTTACATGGGAGATGAATTTACGTGATACAAAATGTGTAGATGAAGATTTTGAGAATATTTTTCGACCACTAAACCACGCGTGTCAATACGAGAGTTGGGAAGGGAGGATGACCAAAAGATATAGCATGAATTATTCATTTAGTTTAAAAATCGTATATGATTACCTCGGTTCGGAACAATAAAATCTGCTTCTAGCTGCACCCATCCATCGGCGGCGGTCAAGAAGGGTTGATGAGTTATAGAGATGTATTCATCCGCCCCTGTTTTTTTTTGGTAAATCAAATTGGCATTTTCCGATAAGAACTATTTTATATCAGCACCTAGCATTTTTTGTAAAAATCGTTGAAATCAGGAAACTAAAGCTATAATCTTTTGCTATACATACACAACTTCCCATTTTATATGCAAATAAACTTTAAAAAAACAAACAAACTTATTAAAACAATCAAGCTGCTGACATGGGCGCCCGCAGAAAACTTTCTAGGGGGGGGGGCAAAAAAATCGATTAACTTTCCAGGGGAGGGGGCAAAAAATTTTTACTAATGTTTTAATATAGTTTTAATTTACTGTAGCGTATTTGTGTGGTGTACGAACGGACAGGACATCAGCTTAGTTACTTTCTCTTTATTTTCTCTTTACTTTAATACATTTTTTATCTATTTTTGTCAAAAAATTTTTTATCCAATCAATCCAGGGGGGGGGGCAAGTGCCCTACCTCCCCCCTGCCTGCGGGCGCCCATGGCTGTTGATAATGTCCCCACAAAATACATCATCAGAGCGACGTACATAAAATAAGACTGCGCCCATCGCTCCAAAAATCACAAGAGCACGCTTTTAAAATTGTACACACTAATTGCTAGAGAAAAAATCTTTTATCGACCTCCATTCAGCTCCCCATGACCCCCCCCCCCCCCCCCCCCCCAAAAAAAACCAAAACAAAATAAACAAAAACTTTTTTCCACCCCCCTTCCCACCCCCCCATCCCCCCCCCCCCCCGACTCCACAAAAAAAGTCCAAAACTAAATAAGCAAAAACCAACAGGCATAATTAATACTGACCATTGTCCTTTCGTTTCAAGTTGAGAGTGACTCCAGCTGATTGGTACACAGTGCCTGGGAGATCACCGACCAATCGAATGTAAATATGGAAGGCGTAACGGCCCCCTGATTTAACGTGAACCATCTGCGCTGGACCTTGCCAGGCTTGAGTTCTGTTTAAATATAAAATAACAGCATCCACACATATATTGATACCACGTTGAATATCGCTTAACCAGGTGTTTCAGAAGTCTGAAAGAAAATTTCCTTTCCTAAAGTAAAATGCTATTATTCTGAGACGGCAAATTAACTTGGGAAAAAAAATGTAAAGACCTTCTCTTAAAAGGAAAGCGATAACTGCCATCAAATCTGAAGTTTTTGTCAATGATTGAGTTCCAGCGAAAGTTTGACCGAAAGGATTCGACCAGCCAGACAAGACACTGGGTGGGGGTGGGGCACCTCAATGTGACGTCAGATTATGGCTGTGAATCGTCATCTGGCCAACAGGCCACCAGGCCACCTGGCCAACAGGCCACCACGTAAAAAACTTTGGGAAAGTCGTACAATTAGCTACTAGATTTAAAAACTCAGGGTGAAACGTTCATGCGAAATCAATCTATCAGTTATCAAGAGAATATAATCCTAGTAATCCAGTTTATCTCCAACCCATTTTCCAACATAGAAATGCATTATATCATAGGACATTTAAAGCCATTACAAATAAAAACATTTAAATTAATTTTTAAAAATAAATATATATGCTAATTGATTTATTCTAAGTTCCTCGTTAATGTTTTCAAAATACGCTTAAATTTGTTGTAAATAACCTGTGCTTCATCTTTAAATGAGTACATTCTAACTCGGAGCTATTCTTCATTAAGTTAATTTTTTTTTCTTTTTTTGTTTGTTTGTTAAATATCCAAGATAAGAAGTAGTCGTATGCAAGATTTCTTATCCATCAAAATCTACTATCAAAGTTTTTAAACATGAACTCATGGTCATAACGTTTGTTTCAAAGGGTTTCCACAATTACTATTGGGATCGATTTGTTGGCCGAATTACTTCTTTACAATTAAAAAAAAAGAAAAGAAATCAGAATTTTTTTTAGCCTCGGCATCTTGTCAAATGTCGAAACGTCTCTAGAAATATAAACGTTTTCTTGCGATCTTTACCCAAACATTACTGGAAATAACTTATTTTTATTTTTTGTAAACAGGAAACACATTATTTACAGTACCATGAGATATCAAGACGTATGACCTATTATAATGTGAAGAGCGTGGAGACAATTTTAAACACCAGATGCACCTTTTCTGTAAACAATGAGCTGAAACTTTGTTTAAAAAATCCCAAATTTGAAGGATTTTGATAGTGGTTGAATTAAAATTCTTAATAATTTAAAGCACAAGCTCTAGCGGATGAGGGTCTCTCCAATCCGGATGGCACTTTTTTTCCATATATTCAGGGGTTGCATCTTTGGTGAACTGCAGAGATTTTTCGTGAAAGGGGGATTGTCAAAAATATTGGCACTAACCCAAGCTACACAATTCGCACAAGCTTATAAATTGAACAAAAATATTATTAAATGATATTTATATCCACACATTTAATGAACTTACTCTTTATCGCCCTATTTGCGAATAAAAACATCGTTTCAATTAATAGCAAAGCAAGAAAAACTATAATTTTCACCATAGCTGTATCCGTATGGTAATTGCATCGCACTGAACACAAAACAAATGAAACATTTTCTTGCACCTCGCAAATTTTTTAAAGATGTTCCCCTTTAATTTCCATAGCAATTTTAAATCCTAATTGAACTGACCTTCCCGTGCACTTGCCAGAATGTGTGCCGCTATGATGCTGTGACGTATCGTCGGTCATCGTGAAGCCCTCATGGACCCAGTTTGCGAGGCCACTCTCAAAACCAGGATTCTGTAGCAGTTCCGGGGCGGAATGGGCACCCGACACCAATATGGAGGCTATCGCTAAGTAATATTTCATTCTCATCCTCTCCAAACAGCCAAGTTTCATAAATTAAGTTTGGTGGAAGACAAACAACTGCTGTATATGGACGTCTAAAATGTCATCGCTTGGGTTTGGATATTATACAATAACGTGCAAGCGCCCGAAAAAGTTCAAAGTCAAATAAATCTAATCTTATTGGGTAAAAAACTACAGCCTGGGTCAAAGTATTGCTCAATGAGATTAAAATTTTGCTTTCCTTATTTAAAGCAAGTAAAGACCAAACCAAAAATTGTAAAAAGGACATTTTTTATGAGATTAGTATTAGTTGACAGTCCTTAGTTGTTATAATATAATCAGACTATTCTCAACATCACTTGCTGACTTCAAATGATAAGGCTACACTAATTCCTAATGGTTATCTTGTTATTGGATGTTAAACATATTACCCAACGTTATGCATCTGTCAAATAGACTATACAGCACCGTAAATAACCAGAATACCATACATAGAAATAAAAGTTTAACGTTTGCTTTCGGCAGGGGGCTCTTAAACAGGGCGGCCCGACCCACCTAGGTGGGGCACGATGCAGTGTCAGGGGAGTGCTGGAAGACACGCAAAAATCAGGTTTATTAAGATTCTCATTAGCATTTTTAAAAAGTGATGGGTGCAAGAATTATGTTAAATGGGGAAAGCGGCGTTGCAAAAATCGCTTAAGATCCACTGACTTGTAGAGTTTAGTTTTTATTTGATCTTGTGCGGAATTACACCCACCCCCACCCTCAAAATAAAAAAACGGACCCTCAAATCCCCGCCAGAAACGTATCTCCAATGATTTCAAGGCAAGAGTTTAGATTCACTTGGCAGATTACACCAAGAGTAAACGCCACAATTATATAACATTATCCCCGAGTCGGAGTAGTAAAGACACACACACAAAAAAACAAAACAACTAATGCAAAAAATAAAAACTATCGAATCCCCAACCACTGTATCACAATAGCAATAAGCACGGTGTAACACAATCTGTTGGCTTCATTTGGGGATTTTGAACATATTTTTGCTTCTATATTATGTATATAATTCTATAGCTATACCGGTACAGGCAAGGCGCTCAGCTAGGAACTTTTAGGGGTTTCTATTTCATTTAAACTTAATTCTTTTTTTTTTTTTTTTAAGCACACCACCAAAATTTCCCAGTTGATTGCTGTTAATACAATCTTTCAGAGTTTTATGATTCAGCGTCTTGGCGTTCTTAGCTTGTTTTCAAATCTTTTTCAGTCAAGTGGTCTNTTAATTTGTAGAAATTACAAAGTGAAGCAAATAGTCGCCGTAGGCTAAGACTCAAGTTTAATCGTTTTGCTGTTTTTTCTTGGGTATTTAAAAAAAAAAAATTTTTTTTTTTTTTTTATGGGGGAGGAAGGATTCATATTAAGGTTAGATTAGTCTTGTATCTTTTTTTTAGGGTATTCATCACTACCGTTTCCAAAGACTGTTTAAAAAAATTCTAAAATTGCTCAACAATGGACAAGATCAGGCAACAAAATCTAAACTTGAAAAACAAAAGAAAAAAAACGACAGAAATCAGATACACAGAAAATACTACTTGAACACAAGCAACCTGTTGAATTGCTATTTCTTTAAAGGTGATTACACTTTTCATAGGCAAATGTCAGGTCATGATGTCTCCTGACAGGTCCTTTGCCGGCTTATCTTTTATACTAGCGCGAGGTTTCCTTTTGGCGGGGGCGTTTGCTGTTTTCGCCGCCTCCGGTAAGCTCAGGATGTTAAACATGGCAGCAAGTGGCGTACGCCACAACACCTGCCTCGTTCCCAAACCTCTCGTAGGCATTGACAGCCACGCAGTGGTCGACTCCGTTGGTCGCTAAAGGAAGAAAATGTTACGACGGTGTTAAGACTGTTAAGAATTTCGTTACATTTAAGTCCAACTAAAACCCATATATTACAACGCGTTTAATTTTCTTTTACATTCTACAATCTATGCAGTGGTGACGTTATCAAATTCAACATGGCGGGTCCTTTGCAGGTCTTAAAAAATTTGTATTAAAAATAAAAAATAAATGTATTAAAAATAAAAATTTAAACATATAAAGGCATTTAAAATGGAAGTTCTCTTACATGTAATTTAGTTTACGCTTAATAAGCATAAATACCATATTGGTAACTAATAAAAATTAACCAGGTCATTTGCCAGGTCCCAAGTTATTTTACCAGGTCCTGGGACCCGGCGGGACCTGGTGTAGCGTAGCCCACTAAATCTATGGCAATTTAACAGTGTTTTGGATTTTTAAAAAAAAATGAATGATTACAAATTATATAAAACATGTAACTGTATAAGTATTAGCTATGTCCATGCTTTACTTTCAGTTCAATAGCCCGAAAAATAAAATGCCCCCAAAAAGTGGAGTGTGAAAATGTGTGCCCGTGTCATTAAAATTATTATTTTAAATTATAATTACACAAAAATTAAAGAGAATTATTTTTCAGAATTTATCTGACTGGGAGATTTAAGATTTCTGTATAAAAGGAGATTAAAATTATTTACTATCATCTATTTACAACCAGTGTTAAATTTGTAGAATCAAAATTTTATAACTGCATTTTACCACATTCTGATTTTATATGTCTAGGCCGATGAAAACTAAGGGGGTGGGGGGCAGTATATCTTACAAATATTTTTTTGATACTTGAATTACATTGTTTCCGTCATAGCAATAGGTCAAGACTAAAACCAGTGCAGACCCAAATATTGGTATAAAGATAATTAAAAATAAAATTTTAAATTTGTACCTTACCATTTTCGAGGCGAAAAATTATTATCTTATTGATTTTTACATTTTTTTTTTTTTTGGAGGGTTGGGATCGGGGGTTCACAAATTTAATACCACTATCTCCAATTAAAAAATAACTAAATATATATTTTTAAACATACGAAAATAAGCATTGAAACATTATTATTTTTATTTTAGAATATGTAGATATGGCCGTGGTATAACTGGAGTGGCCGTGGTATAACTGGAGTCGGACATTAGAACGTTTATCTAGTTTAGAGGCTTGCAAAAAAGTATACAGTTGTATACCTAGGAGGGTTGACATCCTTAGGATGCTTTTATTTCAAACTTTAAAAAAAAAATTAAATTGTTTCTAGGCGATTTTTATATTTTCCCCCACTCAACACACATTGCGCCACAGTATGGATGGGCGCATTTTAAAAGTATAGTAATATTTTAAATCTCAAATATAATACACATCGGGAATGGGTAAATAGATAGTTTTAAAACTAATGAAATAGTTTATTAAACCTTATTTTAACCCCCCCCCCCTTTTTCCCCCCTGGGCATTTTTATCTATCTCTAGAGGGTCGGGGATTTTCGGGCAAATTGAAGAGTTTTTTTTTTTTTTTAGAAGTGGGCCGGGAAAAAAAATTTCCCACCCCGGGGGGGGGGGGGTACAAGCCTTAGCTACGCCGATGCGGAGTGGGGAACAAAAAATGATAAGGGACATCATGATGTTCCTATTTTTACAAAGATACCGTTCAGGGGTGATGATAAGTGGTGTTCACATCTTTATGAGGATAACGATATTGGGGACATTTCGGGAATTCAACTTTAATAGTGAAGCCTTTTTTTTCCCCTTAACAGTTCAGGGGCATGACCATAGAAAGGTTAAGATTTTCTTTCAGAGTGTGAAACTATATATATGAAACTCATTGCTTTTACAGACGTGTATATTAGTTATAAATTCTTCTTTTTATATAAGAATTCTTTGTTTCACGAATTTCGATAAATATAGGAGAGAGACGAGGCAAAAAAAAATTTGGTTTATATATATATCAAAATCCTTAAAGGTTACAGTTATTAAAAATAGTAAAAACTCTATAGATTTGCTGGTTGTAAATTCTTTTTACAATTTTAGAAGAAGAAAAAATTCTTACTCCAGTGTTGTGAAAATGGGTTGGGTGTGTCTAAATTATATATAGAAGTTTAACATTTCTCAAAACTAAATGATGTTAGAAACGTAAAAATCTATGCATACTCCTTTTAAAACCAAGAAACTCGACTATCTATTTCCTAAATATACTTTCACGAATTGTCGTTTTTTATTAATTATGATCATTCTTTTGAGGATACAACACATCCAACCCTTGTTCTGTTACGTAAGTAAAAATTTGAAGGTTAGATGTTGAGACTTCGCAGTAGCAGGGAGAAAGCTGCGCTAATTTTTTTTTTCATCATCCTCCAGTCAACATCGGGTCATATCTTCTAGTTTATATACATATGATTAAAGTTAACTTTTCTGATTGACCGAAACTCCGCCCAAATGGATCATATGGCAACTTTGTGCGCCGAAATCAAATCCGATATTCGGTCGGCCCCTATTTCAATAATTTAATTTTAATGGTTACAAATTATCAAATTTAAATCCCTGATAGTGGGCGTCTGAAACTACTTAATGAATTGCCTCCTATTGTGTCTGTTGTGTTAGTTAGTGTTATATGTTACCTATTGATACAGATTGATCAGTTACTGTTATATTGCTACCTATTGTTAAAATACCATCAACATTATTCATCACAACACACCTTACATAAGCGCACGCTCTACCCATCACGTTGTAAACATACAACACTTCAACGTTGCTATCTGCTTCAGGTAAATACACTTACTCTCAATAAAGGCCCCGGCAGCTTTAGCGTCGGGCGTGTACACATTGCATCCCGTCATGACCTGACCAGCCGGACACTGGACAGTAGATCTGGCACCGACCGCATGACCACCAGATGCAGAGCGGACGGTGGTGCATTTGATGTTGCCGCCTTTGCAGCACGCGGCGTAGCCGTAAACACCTGAAATGAATACAAAATACTTCCCTTAACGAAGAGGTATTAAACCTTCTTACAACTAGAATCAGTTATGTTCTTTTACTGCTATATAAAATTGAAAGCTTCTTTTAGGACGGCCAGCTTTTTTTTTAACGGGGTTTCTTTACAATGGACCTTCATTTAAACAGGCGTCTATTAATTTATGTCTCTGCATTGAATCAGATGTTAGCAGTAGACAGTAGAAATGTTGCATGGGATACGATATCCATGGTAGTCTCCATGGCTGAGAAAATATTGTCCGCCAAAGTCATTTACTCCGTGCTGTCTGTTAAGAATCAACCAAGACAGCTTTTCGCATGTAAAATTCATTATTGTCTCATCTACCAGGCATCATACCAACAAACAGACCGTCGTTCTGACCAATGCACGATGTGTTTGTGAAGATGGTACCATCCGAGTCAGACCCGTAGGTTGATGTGGCACAGCCTGGATAAACACAGTCAAACAAACAACGGAATCAAACACAGTGAAACAAAGAAATGAACACATTATAAACTCGGCAAATTAAAAAAAACAAACTCACAGGCATCGGGAGAGAATTTTTTTAAAACATTTATACTGAACCCTTAAATTAATAAACAATCCTTCACTATTTGACAGAGTATTTATTAGAATTTAACATAGTTGGTACCTTGGGGTAACCCTTGATTCAGCACCGGCACCGAGAAAAAGAAAAAAAAAAAGGTTTTGGAACCACTGACCTAGAGGGTACCCATCAGCACCACACGGGATAACGACCTGGTCATCTACCCCAGTTCCTGATGGTCCGGCCGTCTTATATGTACACGTCAGGCCACTCAGACTGCAACACCTGGCACTGGCCTGGATACCTGGGGGAACAGGAGACACAATGCAGCTTCATTATTCTGAGACATTTTACCGCACCGCACGTTAAGTTTTTACCCACTATGGTAACAAATTAAAAACGCTATAAGGCATGGTGAAGTGCTCATTCCAAGTTGGGTGCATATCCAAAAATATGAAACGTAAAATTTAGACGATTTCTATGCGAAACCCTCCAACAAAAATTTTTAATTTTTTTTAAAAAAAAATAAAATATGTAATTCATTCGGCTAAAGAATAAAAAAAAAATATTTCAATAACACAATATGCAAGAAAATTTCAACAACAAAAAATATTTGATAAAGCCCATGATCATAGTTGATGATCAATACCAGTTTAAGCTTTTTTTTTTATCAAGTTGATGAAAAGTTGACTCGGAAGTCTTCATATATAAAGGTGGGTGTGACAGTGTCAATGAATGGTAACTGAGAGGGTTGACCTCCTTACCAACGGTTGTCTTGTAGCCGTTGATAGCTTTACAAGTGGGTTTTCCATTGCTGATGACGAACTGTTCTCCATCTCTGTGCCAGTCGTTGTTCTGAAATAGAGGTGGCACCAGATGTAAAAGATATATATATATATATATATATATATTTATATATATATGGCATCTTTTCGTTTTCGCGAGACGATGGAGTAGCTATGTACACTTCAAATGGCTCATAGGCCGATCGTGAAATGGAAATTTCGGCCGCATTTCTCGCATTAGTATCTTGACTCCTGGTGAGATTTGGCCTTCCGTATTGTTCTTTTTGCAATAGCTTCGTTTTGCGAATCTTCTGCCTTTTTGAATATATGTTATGTAATCATGCGGAAAAGTCACTAATGGTGGTGTCAAAAAATCTACATACATAAATCAGTAACGGTCGTAATTCACGGAAAGGTAAGTTCATCACATATTATGTTTTATTATACTTTTAACAACATTGAGACAGTTCAAATGCAACTTTCTTAGATAGGACAATTCATTCTTTGTAGAACACGAAGATGGAACTATTGAACATTTACTTTAAAGGTAAGTTAATAGGGACGCAGTATCATTTTTTTTTGAAAATCCTGACATTAGGATAACAGAACAGCAAGCTAGAATCATCTAACAGAAGCCTGCACAACTCAAAATGTAAGGCGGGCCGTAGTACTATATGACAAACTTGTGCGGGCCGTAATACTTTATGAAAAACGTGTGGGGGCCGTTATACTTTATGAAAAACTTTTGCTAGCCGACACATGATTGGACGGGATTTAGGGGGGGGGGAGGGATGGAGTGGGGAAGCTGTTAAGAAAATAAGAAGAATAAAGAATATTTCGTCAAATCGCGGGCCGCCAAGTGGGTGCTGGCTGGCCACCAAGTGGGTGCTGGCCGGCCGCATGTGGCCCACGGGCCGAATGTTGTGCAGGCCTGATCTTACCAATCCTGACTTTGAGGTAACCTGAACAGCAATTAAGATTCTACTATTTGACCCTTAATTTAAGGTAACCAGAGAAGTAAGTCAGTACGAAACCATTCAATCCTTACCTTAAGGTAGCTGGTACAGCCGGTCAGAATCTCGTTTGCGTTGCAGGACACCTCAGCTATTTTGTCGTCTCCCACCTCGGACACGGCTGACCACCTGGTGACGCACGCCAGCTGATGGGAGGTGGACGTCGATGTGGCCGTTCCCTCGTTTTTCAGGCCGGCGCTGGTGGTGGAGTGGGTCACGGCGACACTCGCGAACGGGTTGTGCTGGACCGGGAGTTGGATCTCATCTTGAAGAAAAATGAAGATTATATCTATATAAGCAACGATAAAATATAAAAAAAACAAAGGTTTGCAGAATGCTCTTTGTTATGTAGGACGTGTTTACAACATGTTTACCCCATGCTGAGATCCCTAGCAGACGCTGCGTTCGTATTGGGTGTGGCTGATTCCCTTTGATCTTGTTTACCACAAACTAAGCTATCGCCTGCTTTGGTTGAGTCGAAGGTCTTAGAAAATTATAATTATAATTATAAATAACAAATAGTGGAATGTTCTAGTTACTAGTACACGGTAAATGGAGCGCCTCGGCGGACCCCGCAAAAATTTTGCCTCTACATGGCGCGATCGACTAGTAGGGTAGACCCAACTATGTCGAAGCTAAAAAACTCACGTCTCTACGTCTGTCTCCCAAGGTGAAGGGGGGGAGGTTACTTGCAGGCTCTGGTGCTACTGGGAGCACTAGGCAAGGTGCCGTTGGTCACCTCCCAAAACTTAAATAGTTAGGCAGCTTAACTGCAACGGGTTCAGAAGGAAAATAACCAAGCTCACCAAACTACTCCACAGCCGGGAAGTGGACATAGCTCTTTTTCAGGAAACCCTACTGAAAAAGCACTCATAGCACATCTCGGGCTTTTCAGTCTACCGCTGCACATGCGTAAGGTGCCGAGGCTTGGTAACTCTTGTGAAAAAACACTTCACAGTGGAACTGGTAGAGAGCAGGAACTTTGGTGGGACGGATACTCTTACAATGAGAGTAGTCGTAGGGGGTAAGTTCTTTACCATTAGTAACATTTACAACATCCCTAGAAACACATTGTGCCTGCCCTTGCATGGCACAACCCTTTTTAGTGATAGGATTATAGCTGGGGATTTCAACGCCCATATGGCGGATATGGGCTATCCCGATACAAACGCCTCTGGGCGCTACCTAAAAGGAGGTTGAGCTCACGACAAACTTCATCAGACTGCAAAACGGCGACAGTGAACCAACAATGCTTCACACAGTACCATGTCACGCCCCGATGTAACACTGGTCTAAGCCGAGCTCGAGGCAAAGACTCAGTGTGAAGTACTGGATGAGGTTGGCAGTGACCACTAACCTACCCTCATTACAATTTGTCTTGCGCTTGTAAAGCCTAGGTTTGCTAGGAGACACTGGCTGTTTGACAAAGCCAAGTGGACTTTGTTCCGGGAGAGAAAAAAGAGTACGATTGTGGAATCAACAGGGATTCCCAATACCACAAAAAGCAGTGATGCTGCATACGGCGACTTTGTGAGTGGTATCCTCACATTGGCAAAGAAAACAATTCCAAGAACTAACAAAAACCGCAAGTTTCGCCCCTTTTGGAATAAGAAGTTGGCTAAGCTGGTCTGTGAACGTAAGAGAGCTCGGACCAAAGCTGAAAAGTTGAAGACGGCCACTGCTCGTGCAGCTTACAACAGACTGACGGCAGAAGTCCGAAAGGAGGTTGATAGGGCGAAAAAGGAAAAATGGGTTGGGACGTGGGGAAAACTCCACCTGAAAGACGGCAAAAAGGTCTGGCGATTGATGGACTCGTTATCCTGCAAAGGGAAGGGTCCGAAATCTGCGTCCATTGTAAACGACGACAGGCACGGCCCCACCGATGCCAAAAGTGCCGAGGCCCTAAACAAGCATTTTGCAAAGATCAATCGGAAGCAGAAAGAGACCAGAGAGAGCCAAAACCTTAACCGTCTCCGACGAAATGGAGTGTGGCCCAGCAGTGGGGACCAAATGAAGAGGTCTTTACCGCACATTTCACTATGATTGAATAGCCAACCGCCATCCACAAGTGCGACGCCGCCAATGCACCAGGTCCGGACAAGATCTGTAACGAAATGATCAAAAACCTTAGCCCGATAGCTAGGATAGAGCTATTGTCAATCATAAACAGATCGTGGGTAACAGGAATCCTACTCAGAGCTTGGCTTAGCGCTACCATCGTCCCTATTCCCAAAGAAGGGAAGAAACATTATCAACCGACAAGCTATCGTCGAATCTCTCTAACAACGATGTTGGGGAAGGTAGCCGAGAGAAAGGTTAACCAGAGGCTCTACTGGTACCTGGAGAGTACCGAGACTCTCAGCCCAATGCAGGCGGGCTTCCGAAAGGGAATGCAGCCTGTAGTTCAGGTGCTCCGTCTTCTCAAGTCCATAACAGATAGGCTCCAGAAAAAGTGGCATACAGTGGCTGTATTTTTTTTACCTCCGACAAGCCAATGACCGAGTTTGGAGGTCCGGTCTATTGTTGAAATTACAAAAGTTGGGAATAAATGCAAATATATATAGGTGGATCTCCGGTTTCCTCACAAACCGGAATGTTAACACAAAATTCGGCTGTGAAACCTCAATGGAAAAGAACCCTTGAGGAAGGGCTCACGCAAGGGTCAGTTGCATCCTTATCCTTGCATACATCAATGACCTGCCACAATTTTTAGCAACCTGTGCAGCTATGTATGGCGACGATTTGGTTATCTGGAGTACCGGTAAAGATGTCCACCGCCTGCAAACGTTATTACAGCAAGACCTCTCTGCTATCAACAGGTTCATTCGGTGGTGGCACCATAAAATCAACACCTAGAAGACGGTCTATTCACTCTTTACCAACAGGTGGACCATTCTCAAACAGGAGATCGAGCTCAAGGTGGACGACGTAGCGCTCAAATGGGACAAGCAACCGGTTTACCTGGGAGTCAAATTGGATCAAAAGGTACAAATGCATAATTTTGTACAGGACCTCTGCTCCCAGGCAACCGCCAAGCTCAATCTGGTGAAAAAATTGGCTTGCACGAGTTGTTGGGGCGCGGGCGCAAGTACGCTTAGAGCTCTATTCCTAAGCAGTGTAAGGTCGGTGATGGATTACAGCATGCCGGTCCAATCCTTTGGAAGCAAGACTGCATTGGAAAAGCTGGGCCGTATCCAGAATCAGGCTCTGAGATTCATCTGTGGCACTTTCAGGACCACAACAACAGCTGCTGTAGAGGTCTTGGCCAATGTAAAACCGCTACAAATCAGGAGGGAAAAATCAATATTAAGTACCGTAGAGAGGTACCGGCGGCTGGAAAAAAATGAACAGGCCTTCAAAATGCAGAATAACTGGGTTGGCGGCAGGTGACTAAAGAGGTCTTCTTTTATGCACCAGGTCATGGAACTGGAAAGGGCAGTCGCCCTCCCCCAAAATAGAGAAAGTCTGACCCTAATACCAGTTAATCCGCCATATGCGGAACCTTCACGTCCCTCTATACATTTGGCTTTGACCGATGCAGCAGTGACGAAACATAGCCCTGAACATGTTCAGAAAGCGGAAAGCACTGCCCCTTGCGCACATACTTCTGGCGGCTGGATAACAACAGGGATCCCAACTGCTGGCATTGCAGCCTGGCCCCGGAAACTCTAGAGCACCTGTTGACCGAATGCCCCTCACTAGATCTCCCGGGGGAAGCCAGGGCGGTTGGAGGACCCTTTGTGAGGAAAATGTTGTATGGCTCAGCTCAACAGATGGAGTTGAAAGCCAATTTACTGGCCGGGGTCATAAGAGAGTAATCTCAGACCCTCACCAGAATATGTGTGTTAGTTGTTAGTTACTAGTACAATCAGGAACACGACCCGGATTTTCGTTAGAACCGACTATCAAAGCAAAGAGAGCATGATTGAGAAAAAGAGCTATTTTGACTTCACGAGATAATGGTGTATTATTCTATGTGTACTCATACTTTTTATTCGCATTCATCATTGGACCTGATTTTGGCACATTGTATCAACTGTGTACTAGTACAAACCATAGCATACTCTGTAAGTTGATGATTTTTAATTATATTTTGTTTATTGTGTAATTATATTGATACTTGAATAAATCTTATTAATTTTAATTACAAACTGTCGCATTTTTGCTATTGTATTTCTCATATGGGTATCTTCTTTTGCTATGCACTGTTTAGAACGAACCATAAATTTAAAATAGGAGATTATTTTTTTCCCTTTAGAAGGCAGTGCCTAAGACATTATATCTATACGTCGCCACATGATTGAATAAATAAGAGTGACAAATGTAAATATACTAATTGATAAATTGGAAGTAATAGCTGTATTAAATGAGTATTGGATGCAATAAAGCGGTTTCGTATGTTTCATTGGCGCAGGTAGGGTAAGTGCCACATGACGCGACGAATTCTGTTTGCCATCTCTTTCGACAAAAACACGCTGCAGATGGCAAATAATGCAAAAATGGCCAAGCAATATAAAGAAAAAAGTACCACCATTATGCAGCAGCCCCCTCCCCAACCCATTTTCCCCTCATTCACCAGTGTCTAATATTTTAACACCCCCACCGCCCCCATATAAAATTTTATGATTCGTTCAATTCCAGGATCCACAAGTTTGATTGTTGAAAGTAGAAGCCATTAGTTACTCACGCCCGTCTCCAGCTATTTGCACATTGACCGTGGCGTCCGTCTTCCCCACAGAGAAAGATTGTATCTTTATGGGTTTGTTTTTGTAATACACGACCAGGTTGTAATCTCCCTGGAAACCCCTGGCGGTGAAAGATGTTCCCGACGACAGTGATCTGTTCAGATGTGTGCTCCATTCTTCTTTGGTCAGATGGAGGTAAAGTTGGCCGGCCTTGTCCAGCTGTAGATAAAATCATATTGTCTAAGAAATCGTCAAGTATTTTAAGACATACTTTTCAAAGCCAAGAATTTTAAATACGAACATGGGATAGTGTTTTTAAAAAAATCAAATAGTTCACATTTATTATATTTTTTAAAAAGTATTATCTCATTTTAAATAACCTTTGATGGTGAAAACTTACTTATGTATTAAATGCTATTCAAAATCAATACTTCCCTATGTAACAATGCCACTGACTATACACGATGGCGCAGATTTCATTAAATAAAATTACCTATAAATGCGCTAAATGAGAATCTTTAAAAAGTGCGTTTGGTGAGTAATATCTCTTTTGTTTTACGAAAATAGTTAGTGTGATAAATCTCATGGGGGTGGGATACTAGAATAATAATGCAGTGCAGTGGTGGTGGCGTACCAATGGATGGTAGAGAAATAATTTAAATTTTATATAAAGCGTTTTCTTTGAAAGCATGTTTTATCAAGTAACTTTAGTGGATGGGAAGTTCATGCATTGCGTCCGCCATTGTTTGGGTAGGCTATAACTAGAAGTAAAAGGAAAGTAAAGAGCTCTTTCAGTCTCATATGATTATAGCGGGGAAAATAGTATTGTCCTAAAATAATATAACGAAATCAATTTAACAGGGTTCACGCCAAAGCCACCTCTAAGCCAAATGGTCTTAAATAACCTCAGCATACCTGCCCCACCCCGTATGTCTCACAGAGTGTTCTCAAAATGCGTAGCTATGAACATGACAGAATCAGGAGTGGATTCCTTGTAAAAAAAATAATAACTTCCTAGATTGAACAAATTGTTCAATATTTAATAATGAATTCATGAACAACTAGCCGTAAATGAACTGCCGTGGACAAGGGCCATTTGGGGATCCATGTTGTGATCCCAGAATCCCCAGAAAATGATCCCTTCAACGGCGGGGTGACTAAAGTAAAGTCTCAGAGCTGTCTCGTACCTGGCGAAAAAAAAATTAAGACAATAACAAATATTCAAGAATGAATTCTTTGCAATTTTATACATTATCGCCCCCATATACATATACACACCCACACACACCCACATATATATTCCAATGAATGCTATGTTTTAGGGTTTTTTCAGACTAGGAATATATCAGAAAGACATAAATTTGAATTTCTTAAATAGAAAGCTTTATTTCTCTAAAAAGTTTATAAAATAGAAACAGGTATCTAATATATTAATTCTCTATATCCTGGAATACAGCATATCCTTGTAAAATATAGAACGCTCTTTTAAAAAAAAAATATTATAACGCATCCAACATTATCAAACATTTTAGTTTCTTTAACAGAATAGCTCGTCATTGTAGCTCCTGAAACGTGCTACGAAATAGTTTAAACAAATGTTTTTGTGAGGGAAGTACTGCATTCCAAAGACAACGATTTTTATTTAAAAAATTCTGCCACTGTATGGTAGGGTAAATCCGACATTTGTGGGTTAGATTCAACATACATGTGGAGTGAATGCGCCCAAAAGATTATAGATACTATAATTTAAAGGGTTAATCCACTGACCAATCAGCACGCGTATTCTCATCGGTGGCTGCCAGATCCAGTTCCGTTATCCATAGCGGTATGCCAGGTTGTGCCAGAAGGTCCAAACGATACTGTCAATAAATCAAAACCACTGCTTGTAATTTAACTCCACTGACTCTAGAGCAGTGGTTCTCGACCTTCCTAATGCCGTGACCCTTTAATAAAGATCCTCATGTTGTGGCGACCCCCAACCACAAAATCATTTGCATTGCTACTTTATAACTTTAGAGTATGTGTGTTTTTCGATGGTATTAGGTGAACCCTGTGGAAGGGTAGTTTGACCCCAAAAGGGGTCGCGACCCACAGGTTAAGAACCGGTGCTCTAGAGTAAGGTTCTATAAATCTTCCATAAGGTAGCCTGAGTTTGTTTGAATGAGTGTTAAGGAAGAAAGGGAGAAGCAATGTTTTCCACAAAAACGACATTCTGTGTGGCCACTTGTCCTAGGCTGAGATCACATTTTATTTTTTGTAACTGCATCACTTTAGCTAATGAACTGAAACATGCTCGACATTTAAAATGGTGCAGACTTAAAGAAAATTATTCACGAGTGCAAATTTGTGAAATGCTTTCAAATCACTCTTACTAGCAGTCTTTTTGGACGCATTATTTTGTTTTACTATATAGTATTAGTGCGTTCAAAAAGAAATTTGACGAAAATTTTAACGTGTGAACTGACAAAAAGATTCGACCAAATTTCCGGTCGATCAAATTACCGTCGATCAATTTACCGTCGACGAAATTTCTTTCGATCTAATTTCCGGTAACCCTCATTCTGAGTCGCATGCGAAGCCCAGGCTGTCCAAAAATTTTTTTAAAAAAAGCAAACAACAAATCTGTAATATTTACCTTCATGAGAGTTGGGTCAGGGGCTTCGAAGTGAGGGAAATGACTCTGAATACCAACACCCCCGAGACCGACATTTGCCGCCTTGAATCGTTTGATCTGTTCCAAGTAAGCCTGAGTGAGAGGGTGAACAAATTTAATTTTGAGCATGAAAACTGTACAGGGAAAAAAACACAACAAGAACAGATCCTTTTATGTTCCGACAGGAATCGCTATTCACAAAGATAATATTTTCCTCTGAAGGTATCAATATGTGATCGTCATAGATCATATAGATCACATAGATCACCTGCGACGTGTTCATTTGGTATTTTAATGGATTTATTTCAGCTCAAACTTTACATGTACGCATCTTAACTGACAGCTACATTTCATGATCATAGACAAGGTAACAGAACCGAGGCAATGGGTCTGTGAATCCTGCCAACCCGCCCCACCCCCCTGAAACCGTCGCCTTTACCATAATAGGCACCATCTTAGTTTTTTTTTTCTGTTTTTTTCAATACATGACCACACAGTGTGTCTAGAGCATCATTTTAAAAATATGGGCCTTTTGAGTTTCCAGCTCCAGGGGAGAAAGTACTGTTTAAACCTTTAAAGACTTCACTGTGTACATTGTACACTGTACACCCTTAATGCCTATATAAACTTGATGAATTTGATTTTTCCACATTGAATATCTTTTATACTCCCATATTCTGCGTGTACGAGGCAAGCGTGTTCAATGTATGCTGTTTGTACGAAGAACGTGTGTTAAATTTAAGCTGCATGTACGAAGAACGTGTGTTAAATGTATGCTATATGTAAGAGGAGCATATGTTAATGTATGCTGCATGTACGAGGAACGTGTGTTAAGTGCGTGGTCGCGGATGCATAGCTACGGAAAAGGGAGATACCATGACTTGGTGAACGTACAAAAGTGGCATCCCCGGTGACAACGACGTTGAAGTCATTGAGGAAAAGTCTCGGCGTTGGGTCAGCAGCGTGCACGGCCTGGAACATGTGGTACGTGTAGTTGGGGTCGCCTGTGTTGGACTCGAAGAAATGGAAGTGGATAAGCTCGTTGTCGACATCCCAATGCGAAAGTCTGCGGTGAGAGCGAGAGTTAGTGGGTGAGTGAATAAGTGAGTGAGTGAATGAGTGAGTGACAGAGAGAGAGAGAGAGTATTGTAATGTTTGTGTATCACTTGTGTAGACGTTTTTAAGAGTTACAGCACAGCACAGTTGCAACGATAAAAAAATGGCAAGCTGCGCTGGATAAGACAATATGAGAGGATTTTGGATTGTAGGGAAGCTAAAGTGATCTACAGACATAAATTTAGAGGCAGACGGCTCACTAATTGACCAAGAATAAGATGGATCGACATTTAGAGAATCTCATTCGTTAGCTGAGGGTGAGCACAAGAAAGCGGAAAGTCATGGATCGATCCGAATCGGCGTGTAGACGGCCAAAGCCCGACATGGGCTGTAGTGCCACTGAGGAGGTTTGAATGGAAGGATGGGTTGGAGAATGCCAAAGCCCGACATGGGCTGTAGTGCCACTGAGGAGGTTTGAATGGAAGGATGGGGTGGAGAATGCCAAAGCCCGACATGGGCTGTAGTGCCAGCGAACAAGCAATGACCCGTCAAAAATCTTGGAACTCCTCACAAAAAAAAAAAAACTCACAAATTGTGAATTTATTTTACAATAGATTTCAGAAGTTACATTCGTGAAATATATTTTAAAAGTTAAATTGGGTAAAGGAAGGGGGGACAAATTAAGGAATTATTTACAGTGAAGGAAACATTTACGTGTCATTTTTTAAATTATTATTAAGGTTTCCCCTAGATGCACTACAATACTGGGGTAGTCCCTCTTCAAAGTCTGCCTTTGCGGATTATTGGACTTGCAGCTCACTCATTTGTTCGTACCGGTAGTCCCGACCCAGGCTGAAAACCAAGAGAGATATCACTTCTCCCCCCCCCCCAACTAGTTCGGTAACCCGGTGGGATAAGATCGACACAACATCTTGTTAGCGAAAAGTCCCGAGAAGTGGTAAAAGTTGTATCATTGGAAACAGCTTGGCTGTTCAAGTGACGATTTCATTCATTAAATTAAACAATACATGAAAACAAAGTTTTTCGTATAAATCCTTTATGAAATATGCATGTAAGCAAAGCACTTTATAAGAATCCCAATCAGTGCTCTCTCCAAGGCTCGCAAACGCACATTTGTTCACGCCCCTGAACTATGTTGATATTCTCATGACACACCCGCTTGTACACCGCAGATTTATTTCACCAACTATTTTCACAAAAATAAACATAAAGATATAACGCGTCAAACGCACTTGCAATATTTTTGTTTAAATAATCTGATTTATCGCAGTCATCAGGAATTTTATTTTGTAAAATCAGCGTCATAGTGTCTCCTTCATCTTCCCCTTGTGAAACAGGAAAACTGAATTTTCGGGGTTGGGGTTAGGGGGTGAGGCTGAAATTTGTATAAAATGTGTTTTCATCGGTGACGAGTCTATGTGCCAAGTTTAAGTTCGATAGTTTGACGGGAAGTGAGTCAGTTAGCTGTCCGAAGATTTTG